CCGACCACCGCCTGACACATTAAATGCCTCGGTAAAACCGAACCGATGAGACAACTATCACATACGTCAGGGTCGGGATCGATGAAAATGTCAGTATATATCTGATCGAGCTGTTGGGGAATCATTTCGTTTCTCGTCATATCCTTTTCCAAGAAACGAGGGGACTATCTGTGTACGGTCAAAATCGATTTGAGTCAGTCGTACGGATTGGTCGAGACGATAATGTTTCGATCAAAGGATATCTGCATGACAAGCTCGGTCAAGGTCCGAAGTAAGGGCAGCGAGCTTCGAGCTCTAAGGCCGATCAATGACAAGCTCGATATCATTATCGAGCTCATATCCAAATCGAACTACGAGGCAAATCGGGGATTTTATCGAAGATGCATGGACCGACCAACACTCACCCCGAATACCGAGACCCCAAGTCAGAATCGAGCTCGGACCAAGGCCGAGGGCTCGATCCTATACCGAGCTCGAGCCAGTATCGAGCTCGCAGACTAGGGCCGTTGCAACCGCACTATGGGAGAGAATCTTGACGGAAATAGAGGAAAAGATAATACATCATGGACTCTCTACTACGTATTTTTTATTGTATATAAGGTAGGATCTCTCTATTATAAGAGGGACATGGATTGTAAGCAAGCGTGAGACTGGAACAAAAGATCACTTCTCATATTGAAAGATATCCCCTTGTGTTTGTTTTACTTTATCTTATTCATTTTTTTGCTAACTATTCTCATTCTCATAGTCAAGAATACACATATTTCTATTTTTTTTACACGATTTATATCAAATTGTATCGCGTATCCTTAGAACCATACACAAATCTAACGAAATCTGATTTTTCGGGTAAACAGGAGTAACAGTTATTATTAATGTCTTAACACTAAGGAGTCGTTTGGTAGGATTCATTAGCAAAAATAATGCATGCATTAGATTTTGGTATTATTAATCCCTTGTTTGGCATACTTTTTCAACCTATGTATTACCAATGCAAATATTAGTTATACAACCCATTTGGTATTATCCTATGTATAACCAATACACAACAAACCATGGTATTAGTCATACCAAGGCTATTAATGCATGCATTAGCATGGATAAAGACAAAATTTTTCTTAGTTTAATATGAGGTATAAGGTGGGATAAGATGTAGGGTATAATTTATACCTTGTTTGGTTGGAGGTACAAATTTATATCGCCAACCAAACAAGGTATAAATTTAATCCTAGACTTAATCCAGGATATCCCATCTTATCCCATCAAATGTGGGATTATTTTATCCCATCTCTCATGTGGTATAAATTAGTACAATCCCGGGATAATTTAGTCTAAGTCCCTGAAAGCTAAAGAATATGGAGGACATTTTTGTAAATAACTGATTTTCTTAAAAATTATGCAACGCATTTTAATTTTTAATACATCATACCAAACAATAGATAAAAAATAATCCTTGCATAACGAATGATTACATTACTAACCCATGCATTATTATTTCATGCATTACTAATACACCTTATTCAACACTATTGTTAATACACCCTACCAAATGACCCCTAAATAAGTTGAGATTAGTTACATAGTTTCATTGCCCACGTCGCTCCATTTAAGTCAATCTTGTACCAATATATTTAATAATATTGGCATGTTAGTTATTTTTTTTTATTAGTTATATGTGGATGCTTATTATATTCAAGAAATTTAACAACCAATGTAGAGCACCTATGTCTTGAAATTACATGAGGAAAAAAAATATTATTTTTTCCTGGTTGATAAAGAATCTTATGTGGAACCCATCTTATGTTAGGTATATTTTGAACTGATTTATAAGTCACATGTGAGGAGCTATACACTTCCAAATATTTCTTGTCTACTTTCTACAAACTTTTGTAAATGGAAAGAGGAAGAATCTTCCATTTAGTGTGAAATAAATAGATGGCATTATAACGACATTTATTTGTCATAAATGGCATGCCGCAGTGGTAGAGAGAGCTTCGGAGTTCTCTTTCTATGTATTGTCTAATTGGTAAAATAGTGGAACCTAACTCTCAAAACCACTCAAGTAACTAAGGGGACAAAGCAGTCGTTGTCTACAAGACTTTCTTTTTGAAAAGTCTTCAACTTTTTTCTATTCGCATCAAAACTTTTACTTTGGCGATTCTCTTTCCAGTTTGGTCTATTCGTGTTTTTTTTGTTTCTACTCTAAAGCATCAACACCTTTCAAAAGCTTTTTTTAAAAAAAAATATTAAGCTACAATTTTCTATACATGTTTAATCGTCTTTAATTTGTTTCTTGTAAAAAAAGTAAACTTAAAATGGAGTTGTCTCATCGGTCTAAAGATTGACCTAGTGATTAAAAACTCTAGAGTGGCGTTTATTTAGAATTTTTCAGCCTCAACTGTTGATTTTGTAGAAAATAAGTACTTGTTGAGTTCTTTTTTGTTTTTAAAAGAAGAAAGTAGATTTGCACATGTCGAACCCAAAAAAAAAGGATCTATTTTGATGCTTTAGTGGTTTATTATTCAGAGGGGGGCCTAGATCTAGTGCCAGTCCAATTTCCTATCAACAAGTATTTGGATTCACATTTATTTCATTCTCAATCTTTTTCTCCTTAAATAGTTGGGAGATTATTTTCCCTTGACGAAAAGGAAATGTCAAACTTTCACCGCTTATACACAATAAGAATTCTCGTTAAATATCATTACATTTTCTGACTTTCATGAATTATGCATAATCAAATGTTAGATCTAAGATGCTTGACTTTTTAAAATTTTCTCAAGTCTCTATTCAAATATTGAATATTAGCATTTTCTCACCTTCCTTGAAGTAGGTTTTAATGGTTTGTGTTTATATCTATCCGTTGCTTCAAATTTTGATTTAATAAAATATAAAAACATAAAGTGTACTCATCAAAATAAATAAATAAATATACAGAAAGTGCAAAGAAGACAAAAATTGTAGATTTCACAAAAAGTCATATAATTATTACTTTTTTTCACCTAAATCATATAACTATGTTTTCCCACACAAAATTTATAAAACTTTTACTAACTCGCATAAAAATCATAATGACCAGAAAAATACAACTTTTTAGTAGTATTTTCTTAATTCACGATTTTTATTTTTTATTTTAAGTCTAATAACTAATAATCCAATTAAAATAGGAATGACCCAACCCGACCCGACCCAATAGCCATATATATATTAATAAAAATAATACCAAAAGTGAATCCTTCAAAACAAGATACTTCTATCTTTTATATTTCTTTTTCAAGATTTTCATTCAAACTGAAAGCATCTTTTTTCAAGTGCTCTCTAATTATACCTTCTTCTTTTTTGTCAGAATCTCATACATTCCAAACTAAATTTGTTGTGGGGAAGTGTCACACCTCCTTTTTTCCGAGAGGATAGAGAGTTTTTCCAATTAAAGTAACATTCTTCGAAATGAGATTATTTATTTATTCAGAGTCTCCACTTAGAATAATTTATGGTGTCTCAAGTCACCTGTTTATTTTAAAATCCCAAACCGAGGAAATTGACTCTATTTATGGTTTGCGAACACAGAAGATCGGGTAAGGAATTCTGTTAATCCGGGAGAAGGTGTGAGGCACTCCCAAATTCCGTGATTTTAGCACGGTCGTTCAACTATTAATAATTGACCTAATTATCTGATTTAATACATATTTGAAATCTATTGTGCATTTTTAACTTTTTAACCGCTTTAAATATTTATGAAATTTATTTGAACAAGTCGCGATGTCGCGCACTCGTTGTTTTTGTACATATTGCGAATCGCGTCACGTGAAACGCACCCGCGATTTACAACATATTTATTATTATTATTATTTGAAATTATGGTCAAGTCGCGTGAAACGCGCACTCGAATTGGGGATTATGTATCATGACTATGGTACGGGAACCGTACCCATAGTCACGATGTTTTATTATTAATCGCGCCTAAAACAAACTATGATATTCGAGAGTTGTTCGGTCGAAACTAATTGCATTCGCTAATATATATAGAATATGTATATTATATGTATATAATACACACACACACACACACACATATATATATATATATATGTATGAATATATATTTTATGGATTATTATTTTTGAGAGCTTCTAAATTTGTTTTATTTTAATTTTAATCGGGTTATTATTTATTAGACTGAAACTTAAAAGATAAAATAAACTGGAATAAGAAAATACTGGAAAATTGTGTTTTTTGTGTGAGTTAGTAACACTTTTATGATTTTTGTGTAAGAAAACAAAGTTATATGACTTTGATGAGAAAAAATTATAGTTAAATTTACCCAAGACAAATGCGCTATCTATGTCAATACCGCATGGGGCTTGTCACATATTTTCAACTTTGCCATTCTTTTGCAAAATTTGAATGGTTACGTACCACTTATTAACTTGCTTTTATTTGTCAATGAAATGGTTCATTTACAATGACTACATTAATCAAAATGAAATGTTTATTTTTATGGGTATCGGGATATTTCGGGAAACCATTTTTTTCTTTTAATCACAATGCTAATAAAGATAATGTTAGAAAGCTTAAATTGCATAATCGTATATTTGTCTTGGTACGTCATGAGATCATTTGGATAATACCGTGAAGTTCCATTGATTTTAAGATGTATTATACCTTGAAGTGCTGGAATTTACCTCCATTATATTCTTCAAGCTTATCGAGTGACGACAATATGTTGTCTTTAAACTTAGTGAAAGTATTCTTCACAGAGAAGTCATTTAACTTGTATGTGTTGTATCAATTCTTTCAGACTCTTTAACACCTCAAGTTATATTAGTAGTATTTTGTACAATCTGTTTATCACCAACATATTTGCTCAGACTAAGGTCTCTGACCAACTTCACACACTCGCACACAAGAAACCATATTAATCTTATCTTTATGTAGTTTTTCAAGCGCAAATATAAGCCCCTTTTAACCTGCATCCGACTAAAATTTGAAAAGGAAATTATCAGGAATTACAACATATGATGGCCTCGAGAGCTGCATACGGAACTGTCAGTCCTATGACAATGAAAGCGCGACTAGTAGAGGTGATGGGGGTGTTACAGATTCCTTAAATGATGATGACTCAAGCAGCTCTTCCAGCAACAATGCTTTTGAATCATTCTCCTCTCAATGGACAACGAGGAAGAGCGACGATCAGGGATCGTATGACAATGGGAATTTCTATGTGAAAGACAAACCTGCTTACACAACCCAATTTTCAGATGTGGAGACAATGAAAGACAAATTTGCAAAATTGCTGCTTGGTGAGGATGTGACGGGAGGAAGCAAGGGAGTTTCGACTGCATTAGCATTGTCCAATGCCATTACAAATCTTGCAGGTTTTTAGTTGTTACTTCTTTATCTATCAATATCGTTTTACAATAATTCAATGTTTAAAAAAAAATTGATTTGCTACAAGGGGATTTTATTAGTGAAGGTATTACAAGCTTACTCCTTTTTCTTCTCTAAAGTTTTTGTAACGAGGAGTTAAGTTTGATTTTTCTCTCCAATATACTCTACCTTTGCTGAAAAGAATTGGCTGCCCAGCTGCTTTACTAACAGCAACGGAAAGGATTCAAAGAACAAACAGGAATACTAATTTCACTATACTCCGTAAAGATTTTTAAACAGCAGAATCGTATTCTCCCAGATTCTACCATAAACTAGTAAGGATGAAAAATAGCATAAGCTACCTTGTTCGTGCTCCTGCCTTTCCCACTGTCATCTTAATATCATAGATTATTTATTACTGACGCTGTGGGATTAACCTGTGTTTTTCTCCTACTAGGATTAACTTTAGCTTTATAATCTGAAATCTGATAAAAAAATTCACATGACAACTCCAAAATAAAATTGACATTTTTTTTTAAGAGGGGAAACCCGCCGCCGCTACAAACCTCTGCCACAACCTCTTCCCTTTGGGTGAGAACTCTGTGGTAAGCACTTTGTGCGCACGGGGTAAAACCCCCCTGTATAATAACATGCAAATCACACAGGGGATGTAAATCACACTAGGCAAGCCCTGTGTGACAGGCTCAACCCAGAAGACATTGAGGGGGGAATCGATCCCAGGTCATCCGTATCTCCAAACCAACTGGGCAACCCCGAACATATAACAAGCACAAGTATAGCATTTAAAAGAATGTTACACCTCATAACACATTGGCTCAGCTTCTCCTAAACCTTTATTGTTCTATTTTCTACTTTGCTGTGAATTTTCCTGATCTGTAATGCTACTTCTGGATTTAAAGCATCTGTGTTTGGAGAGCTGTGGAAATTGGAGCCACTTGCAGAGGAAAGGAAGAGGAAATGGCAAAGGGAAATGGATTGGCTGCTCTCACCTACCAAACATATGATTGAGTTGGTTCCTACAAAACAAAATGGTTCTAATGGCCAGAGATTGGAGGTAACTATGACTTTCTAATAACACATCAGCTTTATTTCATAATAATAAAGCGACATAGTGAGTTCCACTTCTCGTTCGAGCAGATAATGACACCAAAAGCTCGTGCAGACATCCATATAAATCTTCCAGCACTTCAGAAATTGGATTCCATGCTTCTTGTAGGTGGTCTCTTATATCCTATAACGTTCGACTACTTTGTTTCTGCATCGACTTGGTCGATTTTCTCAAAGTTCCTTTCGATCTCAAATTGATAGGGAATGCTGGATTCAATGGTTAATACTGAGTTTTGGTATACGGAAGTGAGTAGCCGAGCAGAAGAAAAGGGCACAAGGTGGTGCCTTCCTTCACCCAAGGTACCCATCTCTGGGCTCTCTGACACTGAAATAAAGAAATTGCTGAATCAGGGAAAGTTGGCCGGTCAAATATTCAAGGCAGCAAAAGCTATTAATGAAAACATCTTAGCTGAAATGCCGGTTCCAAAAGTTATCAAGGATGCACTTCCAAAGGCAAGAGAGAGTTCTCCCTAAAGCTATTTGCTATTGAGTTTTAAGTTTTATGTACTGACACACAATCTGGTTACTTATATGGTAAATCTCTTGATAAACATTTATCACTAAATATGATAGCTAACGTACTATCACATATTAAACTACACTCATAGTATAAAGGAAATTTGCACAATGTATATAACTCAAATCCTTTTCTATTATGTATTTAATTTGTTGAAATTGCTAAATTTCGTTCTTGCAGTCTGGCAGAGAAAGCCTCGGCGAGGACCTTTATAGAATCCTGACTGCAGAATCAACCTCTGCTGAGGAAATGTTCAATTCCTTGAACTTGAGATCTGAAAACAGTGCACTTGAATCTGTTAACAGGTTAGAAGGAGCAATTCTTGCATGGAAAGAAAGAATAACTGATCAAGCTAGTGGAAAGTCTCCAGTTCGAAGATCTTGGTCTTTAGTAAAAGATCCTATATCTGAGCTAGACAAATTGGAGGTCTTATTGAGCCAAGCAGAAGCTCTTCTGCAGCAGCTCAAAATTAAATATCCTAACCTTCCTCAGACATTCCTCAATGTCACAAAAATCCAGTATTGCACGGTGAGAATCGTATCCACTAGTAAAATTTGTTAAAATGCAACTAATAAGGATGATTATATAGTTCACTTATCAGCAGAATAGTTTCTCTGTTTCAGTTAGCGACTCGTTTCAGCTTGTCATTTGCATAGTCCATATATCATCGAACAATAGAGGATAACTATATCTTTCTGGACAACTGTTTTACCCTTAAATTACCTTAAGATTTTGTATGTATCTCTACTTCTATGTGTACGCGTATGTTTAGAAAAAGTTATGCCATAACCTATGTTGCGCGGACTCTCCAAAATGATGCCGCACCCGTGTCGGATCCTCCAAAAATACACTATTTTTGGAGGATCCGACACGTACCCGGCAACATTTTCGGAGTGTCCGAGCAACATAGACCATAACAAAGGGCTCAATAAGATTGTGGTTAATCCTTGTTCTTTCTGTATCATTGTAGGACATTGGGCATTTAATTCTGGAAGCATACTCTCGGGTTCTCTTAAACTTAGCGTACAGCATTCTGATCAGGATAGGAGAAGTTTTGCAAGTAGATATCTCGAGCAACCCCAATTCACCAGCAGCTGCTGACTACTTTCCTGGTACAAGAATCCCTGGATTATTAGAGTCCTATAGCTAGTCGATTGAGGCACTCGTTGATTGATCAGATGAATCGAGTTGATGGACATTTTGGTGACTCCTCTAATAGCAATGCTTCTATTGAGTTTGCAAAACAATTGATAAGTTCGGTAAATTCCAACCTGAAGTCCAGTTTGGTGCACTGGCAGGGTAGCTTATAGCAGCATATCTACTGCGAATTCACCTTAAGAAGGAGATTTTTTCTGTAGATATATATACCATTTCCATGTCAAACATCAGCCTAGCTTCAGGCTGAGTTTTCATGGTTTTTAGGGGAATTTGCCCTCACCTACAAATAAATTACAGCGGCAATAGAATAGCATGCTTTTTACAAGCTAAGTATTGCAAATGCTGGATATATGTTTTGGTATATTGAGTAATTTTACCATAGCCTGTGCAAGAATTTAAAAGAATCTGAATTGTTTGATTGTAACTTCTCATAAAGATCCACCTTTAACTATACCCAGTGTGCTTGTCCAGTAACAAAGAGATTTCTGTTATAATTAAATCAGTATCTATTTATCTATACTATATTAAAAGCGCCAACGCCCTTAGCGCAAATATCGTTTTTATTTGGATAAAATTGTAACTTGATTTTACTAATATTTAGAACTAAGAAATCAACTACAATTATGATTATTAAGTCTTTCCTTATTTGAAATATGTAAAATATTCTAACATTTAGGATTCTAAAATCAAATTAAAATTTAACTCTTATAAACAATTCCTTATTTAAATTAGTTTTGTTATTTTTGTCCTTTACCTTAGGTTTTTTTTCTCTCCCACGAAAGTTCTAGCTAATTTATGCTTTTCAATGGATTCTTGGTCAAGAGCATCTCCAAAGGAAGCAAAATATTACATGGTTCTTCTAGGTATTGATGAGTTAGGAAAATAATATTATTGCGAATATTGCTAAAGCATTTAATTTGCTCATGCGGGGCATATCGTAAGACTGATAATAGTATTGTTTTAATATTGAAGTCCTTATAAAGATTCTAAGGTACGTCCAACTATTTCTATTCTAAAATTAAATTCTTTTATTTTCAAATATATCTTGCATATTATGAAAATACAAGACTTTTATTTAGTTATAATTGTTTGATTTATATAAGGTAAAATTTTAATGATTTTAAAGTCCTAAATCTTAGTAGTATTTTTACCTAATTCAATAAGGAAAGATTTTATGACCAAATTTTAGTTAATTTTAAAGTCCTACAAATTAGAAAATTAACTTAAATTACAATTTCATCCAATGTGAAATCTGATTTTAATGGGTAAAAAAAGCGAACGATATTTCGCTAAGGGGCTTCGTGCTTTTAATATTACTAGTCTCTATACTTGTGCGTTGCACGAATATCTTGTGTCAAATATTACAAATACGTACCATAAGTAATTGTTAAAGTTAGATAATAAGTTGCTTAAAATAGAAGTTATATATATGTAATGCAAACCAAATCATAATAATGTTGTGATAATCAAAAAATAAATTGGAACTAAATAGTTTAAAATTATAAAATGATACGAATAAATTTATAAGTCGGTTAAAGAATGCAATAATATTTAATATTAGTTTTTATTCAAGTTGTTTATCGTGACAAGTATAGTAAGTTTATCCAAATTCATAATTATTTCCAACTTTACCAGTTGTAGTTGTTTTAAAAGTTCTAGGTATTGGTAGAGTAGGAATTTGTTGTCAGTCATATGTGGAGTTTTAATCTGGAAAGAATTCTATTCTTGGGTAATATATTTGGAATATTACAATTATATCCATCTTTAACTCAAAATATTAAGGGTATAAAAGTCTATCAAAGTTTCGAGGATATTTTAGTCATCTAACATTTAACATAAATTATTTGTGCTTTTATAATAAATATAGATATAGATAGATAATTGAATTAAAATTTGTAGGACCAAAGCGGGTTGCACAGAGCATATTGTTAAGGAGATCTTTAACAAGTTAAAGATGAAGTCCAGAACAACAATATGAATTATTGTATGTAATTCCATTATTATTTTATGTATTAAGTTGTTTATAGTAACTTTATAAGTATCTCCTCTTTCTCTCACACTACACTTTGTATTTATTTTTTTCAAGCAGAAAATTATTTTGACTCTATTGCCTGTTCGGGGTATATAACTACGAAGGACTGAAATTAAAAAAGTAATCTTTGTAAATTAAAAGTTTAATATTATTCAAGTGTGTTTCTATGGTTAAGCTTGAAAGTTACCACTTTGAGTACAAAGAATTGAGACTTAAATTCCCGAACACGATTGAGATTTTATGAGTGATCTTAGTAGATTATCTTCCTTTTAGCTATAAAATGATCCTTTGTGTTAGTTAGGAGTTTATTATTCCAATGTTCAATCTTGCTAGGAAAAAGAACCTTCACGATAGCAGCGGGTATGAGTACCTAACATGGTATATCTATATCTCCAGTTATTTTATTCTCATTAAATGTTAATTGTCTGAATAAATGTTATGTATTTCAATTATTAAAAGTCTAATTGTTTACAATTTTAACCAACATAGAATTATCTCTTGAAATTTGTTTAGAGCTCTATATCGAAATTATGATTGAATTTATCACTACTATTCCTAATTATAAAGAAACGAATAAGACTCTAATTTTATTAAAAAACACATCAATTCGTCCAAAAATAATTTTGAATATGTTTGTGATTTGCAACGATGTAAATCACAGTATCCAATATCAGAGTTGAACAACACGAACAATTATAAATTACACTTTTAAGAAGAATATTAATGTCGACAACAAAATATGTAATCATGACAAAGCGGTCAAAACGATAGAAGGAAACATCCACCAAAATATTATTTATAAAGAGGTGTTAGGTGAGATACAACACAATATACTTGTATCTCATATAATAAAATATTTATATTTATAATACTATATTAACTAACATATTTGACGCGGCACACACATGCAATGCACGTACACTAAAGCTAGTTATAACTAAAAAGGATAAATATAAAAATTAAAACAAAGCTTTCACCACCAAAGCTTACGGTCTAGTTGTACCGATGGGAGTTTAAGACAAAAAGTGTGAACTAGGTATGATACGCACTATCCTCCATTTCCCTCTCAGATCCCCTATGTAATAGGAAAAAAAATAAAAAGAAAAACGTGTTAGAAAATATTAAATTATGATGGATGTCCATAACCACCAAAGGAATAATACCCACTACTTCCTCTCCATTATCTCAATAACTTTCACTACTCCAATAATTATGGTTGTAACTCTCATGCTTCCATAACCTCCCCGATGATCTTCCTCAATGATCTTAAATGCTTAATGTCATGTTTATGATATTCTTTTGTATACCTCTATGTAATACTATAAATAGAGGATGAGAAGTGATATTGTAGATACTTAAATACACACTTAGAAAATACTCGAAGAAACACTTGATGAAATAAGAAAGTTCTCTCTTTTCTCTCTATATCTCTTGTCTACTTTCTTGTTTTATAAGAAAGTTAACCATTGGAGGATCTTCTGTTTCCATATTTTGTATCAGATATTTGACTCAATCATAATCATCATAATCTTAGGGATTATTGACAAAGCTGTAATTAATTGTAATAGCTTACATTTAGGAGCAATATTAGGTGTTTTAGTTGTAATATAAACTTGTATATGCTACAACAGTGAAATTCCCCCAAAACTAATCTCTGGTTCATTACCTTTTGATTTGACACTATCTGTGGGAAGAGAGAGAATATCAAATGACTAGCGCTCCCTCAAAAACATCCTGCCTCCATTCTATTTCTTTGCTAGTCTAGCTCTAAATAATTAATAATGTAAAATTAATGATCGACATTATTTACGACTAGCATATTTAACTACTCTTTTATCAGATTTCACTTGTGAGATTGTACTGAATTTATTGTTATTGTATATTTAACACATCTTGTGCGTCGGTATGTACTTCCGAGCGGATGCAAGTTGTGTTGCATTGCTATTTCAAGCACTGTTCTAAAATTCTTCAATTTCTCCAAAAATGTTCCGTGTATTATAATTTTCATGGGAGGAGCCAAGGATGTATCATCTCCTGTGGTTTTGGATGATTCCACCTAATTTGCTTTGTCCTATTTCTCCCCCGTGAGCCATCTTTTTCGGCAAGAGGCAGAACCAAAATTTAAAATTTATGAATTCACGATTCTAATCTTTTTAAGTTACTGTGTCATGATCCGCCATATCATCATGCCATTAGGTGCTACTTGGCATATATTTTTGCCATATGGAAAGCTTACATAGGAAAGATGCTAGCATTTGTAGGAAGATTCTAGAGAAATATAGAGGTTTTCCTAGAAAGACCCTAGAACCCTATGGATTTTCTAGGAAATTCCTTGGAGGATTCTAGCTGTGTAGAGAATTATAGAAAGGGGACTTACTTGTAAATAAAAAGGGACTTGTGTAATAATTTTTATTTACTCACTAGCCCCTAGGAGACTAGTATATAAAGGGGATATTCATTTGTAACTCATCAAGAAAAATAATCAAGTTCTCTCTAATACAAAAGCTTCATTTGAAAATTCTCATGTGTTCTAACATTCCCTTAGCAATCTTTAGTTTAGTAAGGCTGAGTTGGCATAGCAAGATCATGAGCAAGTTGTACAAGATTATGATCAAGTTGTCAAGTATTGCACGTGTGCTTAATTTATGTCAAAGGATGTGACAACGTAGTATCAGATTAAAGGTTGCAACTAAGGGAATGGCGAACGACAAAAAAATTAACGTTGCCAACACCCAAGCCAACGTCATCTAGGATAGCTGGCAAGAAGGGTCGTAACAAAAAGAGGAATGCCACCAACAAGAGCCAGGAGGTATCTCCCGAGGTTGTGTCAAACGAAGGGCTTACATCCCAAGAACCATCTGCCACTGAGGCGAGCGAGGATGAAGTGGAGGTCCTTCCGGAGGATGTCTCGCTCGATAAAAAGTGGGTGATGAAGGTGAACGTGGGGATAAATGTCTTGGAGATCTTTGGCCAATGCTTGGGGAAGGTAGAAGGCACACTTAGTGTTCTTGAGGGACACACTCTTGAGGAGATTGAGAGTATCCATAATGATTTGGAGGAACGCACACAGACTGAGATGGAGCTAAGGCAAACCATCACTGCCTTAGAATGCATAGTCATGGAGGCCTTGAGTATTATCGATGCAATGAAGGCAAAGATAGAGTCACTTGAAGAGCATGTCGATACTAGCATTATCGAGGCAGACAACAATGTTGTTGTGTCGAGGGAGGCCAAGATTGAGGCTCCCAAGCCACCGCTATTCAAAGATGTTCGCGATGAACAACTAGTGAAAAAATTTCTTTGGCACATGGAGAACAACTTCAAGCACGGAATAGTGAGGGACGATGCGACTAAGATCAACATTGTTGTATTGTACCTCTCAGAGATTGCCGCATTATGGTGGCTTCGAAAGTTTGCTGAC